GCCACAAAAAGGAGTGAAATTCTGCCATTTGCAGCAATATGGATGAACTTGGAGAAAATTACGTTGGAAAAATTATGTTAAGTGAATAACATAGTAAGCCAAGCACAGAAAGAGAAATACCACCATGTCCTTACTCCTAAGTGGGAAGAAGGGAGGAAGAAAGGAAAGAAAGAAAGAAAAAGGAAAAAAAGAAAGAAAAAACAACAAACACAATAATATGTTGAACTTTTGTTGGAAAAATTATGTTAGGTGAATAACATAGTAAGCCAAGCACAGAAAGAGAAATACCACCATGTCCTTACTCCTAAGTGGGAAGAAGGGAGGAAGAAAGGAAGGAAAGAAAGAAAAAGGAAAAAAAGAAAGAAAAAACAACAAACACAATAATATGTTGAACTTTCAGAAGGAGAAAACAGAACTGTGGTTATTAAAGGGGGAAAGGGGGAAGTGGAGGAGGGTTAGGGAGAAATTGATTAATGGACACAGAGAATGAGTACATTTCATAACAATGAATATGCCAGCTATTCCGATTTACTCATCATATATTGTACACAAATACTGATAGTCAACTCTGTACCACGCAAATATGTATAATCCATTGTTTCAATTAAAAAAAGAAAAAACAGGAAGCTATTATCAAAAAAAAAAAAAGGTTGAATGAAAACAATAAATTAAAGCACTTTTGTATAAAAGCTGCCAAAGGCCTAGCCTACCAGGGGTTTTGAGTGCACTTGTTCCAGCCTTCTGCCTAGATGGTGCAGCTCCTTGGGCAGACATGCCCCTTCTCCAGGAACCCGTCTGTGAAACAGACAGGGAAGCTTTCTGCCCTGCCTTCTCAGGGTCTTCAGGAAGTCCTGAGGAAACACTCTTCCACTTGCCACCACTATCCCCATGGCTGTCAAAGTCCTCTTCTGTTTTCTTCAGCTCCTCAGTGCTATCCCAGGTCTCATCTGTTGTGGAACGTTTCTCTGAATCTGTCTTCAGCTATAAAGAAAAATATTACAGAAAAAAATTATGCAGAAAAATCTATAAAGTGTGAATTAAGGTGCTAAAATGTACTTTTAGATGACTGGTTAAAGAAAAAAAAAAAAGAAGCAGCACTGAATTATATTTCAAAAGAATTCCAAAGACTCTTCTATTTTTATCTAAATCTTCTCTTAAGTTTCATTAATTTAAGCCACATGATTCTCACTCGCACATATTAGAGAATGTCAGAATAAAAATGTGCAGAAAACCCCAATTAAATACTTCAGAAAGGAAGGAATTTTCTATGTCAAATGTAACAAAAAACAGCATGACAAGATAATACTTAATTATTTCATGTCCATTCTTGATTTACCATTCACAAGAGATCTAGTAATTTATTTCAAAAATTAATATCAAATTAATTAATAACTTAGACCATTAAAACAATTGTTAGGTTTTAAAACAAATATATCAATATTATAAGAAGATATATGGCAACATAGGTCTTTCTGGGTTACATTGTAATCAGTAGAAAAGATATATACATAAGCTGCTTCGACTATTCGAAATAGGCTGAGGTGCACATTGCTGTACCTCCTGAGGGTTGTAGATCTAGGAGAGACTAAGATAAAGACACTTTAGGGTCCAGGGATGGCAAAGTGAGTCCCTGTTAGCTCTGCCTTAACCAGTTTATGGAATTATTTCAGGAGCTATACCTTAATCTAATATAAGGGGCTGTATTATACCTTAATTTAATATAAAATAATTTTGTGGAAGAAACAGGCAGAAGTGCTGGAAAAAGAAAGGAGTTGATTCTGACCTGAGTGTTCTTCCTGGAAGGGATGGTGATGTTGGAGTAAGAGCTGACTGAGGACGTGGTGTTCAGGTCGTCGGTGCTGATGTTATCGAGGGTGTCACTGAGACCACTGCTCACGGAACTGCTGTCATCCCAGCTAAAGGCAAGACATGCAGCAGCAACGAATCAACACAGGACACACGATACAAGTTGCCTATGTTTCCATCCAACACTGATCTTGTGTGAGAAAGACAATCCTTGTTCTTTAATCTTGTGGTGAAAAATGATTTACTTTCCATTTTAGGAAAATCATATTTATAAGAATTGAGTGCCTACCTGAGAGTAACCTTATCTGATGTTTGGAAAGAATCAGTGTCTAGAGCAGACCCAGATTCCTGGGGAATGTTTGAGAAATGAATGACAACACTGATACTAACACTGCATGGTGGCAGGAAAGAAAAACATCACAGCAGACTTTTTCTTTTCTTTTCTTTTTTTGTTTTTTGTTTTTTGTTCTGTGAAAATGCAACCAAGAATCATGAAGCATGTAAGGATCCATCTCTTGGTCCTAAAATCAAAAACCTGTGTTTCAGTAAGCAACCAGAAAGTCACTATTCCTTCTTTCACCTAACTTACTACTTCCAATCATTCACCAAATCTTAAATATTGACATTCATTCAATCATATCACCCTTTCTTGCCATCTCTTACAATTCTGGCCTGGACAATATACAACCCTCCAGTCTGGCTTTCCTGCTTTTGATCCTTCCCAATACAACTCCATTCACTAAATCTGGATCAGCGATCAAAAATTCACATCTGGCCATGTCACTACCCTGCTTTCCTTGCCATCTCTTACAATTCTGGCCTGGACAATATACAACCCTCCAGTCTGGCTTTCCTGCTTTTGATCCTTCCCAATACAACTTCATTCACTAAATCTGGATCAGCGATCAAAAATTCACATCTGGCCATGTCACTACCCTGCTTTATACTCTTCAGAGACTTCTTTCCCCAACAGTAGATTCTAGGCACAAAAGGAAACCCATTTGGGGTATAGAAGAAATATCTAAATTCTGAATATAGCTTTTGTTTTTGATATAAAGAAGATTAAATACAACAGGAAATATTAATATCCATGTGCAAGCTAACATTGACACCTTCGTTTAGTCAATGTGTCAGATGTTGCAGAAATAACATAGGATAAGCAGGGGAACCTGAAAAAGGATGGGAACTTGACAGTGTGAAAACTCAACATTTACTGGCTGGTTCTCAGTCTATTGTGATGTATTGCTGCTTACCAGGGCTCTTTTAAAAGAATCTATCAATACTGGATAGAGATATTCTATATAAACAAAAGCTAAATCTCAAAAAATAGACATGCGGCCTACAAAGCATTCTGCAAATAATCCACACCTTGAAGTGAATATTCATAATGAAAGCACAAGCAAACCACAAAGGAATGATGAACTATACTTTTCCTACTCTGGTATATGTAATTTATGAGCTACATCACAACTTCAAAATAACGGTGATGTATTCAGATAACATATGAAACCAACAAAATGTAATTACCAAAAAGAAAATTTGAAAATTGAACTTATAGCAATATCATTAATGATGATTCCTCTCTAGGTGTGTATCTTGCTTCAGGTTTTAGCTACTGAGAGCATAATGCCTCATGATTACCAAAGATATTTAGAAATCAGATTATTTTCAATAACAATTATATTTTTAGTGAGAGCAAAATTTTGTACCAGTATAGCAAATATCTGTCATTTGTAGCTGCTCAAATCTTTTGAATATCTTCCCTATATCTTTTCTGTATGTGTGTGTCTGGCTGGTGGGTATGGGGATCTGAACCCCTGACCTTGGTGTTATCAGTACCAAGTTCTAACCAGCTGAGCTAACTGGCCAGCCCCCTTCCCTACATCTTAATTTGATAAATCTCCACATCATGAGCCATATCATCCCAAAGTAGAATATTAAAAACTCACATTCGCAAACTCCCTTACAGAAAGCTATGGCATGCAAGACAGGGCCAATCATCCACACCCATGGAGTCATAAGTGAGAAAAGCCATCTCTCGCAAGCAAGAGATGCCCAACATTGTCATTAGGAAATCTTAAACTAAAACAATGAGATACCCTATGTACCTATTAGAACGGCCAAAATCCAAAACACTAACAACAGCAAATGCTGAAGAGGATATGGACAACTGTAACTCATTCACTGCTGTTGGGAAAACAAAATGGTACAGACACTGTGGAAGACAGTTTGGAAATTTCTTACAAAACTAAACGTACTCAATATGTGATACAGCAATTGGCACTCTTTGGCATTTCAAATAAGTTGAAAACCTACGTCTACACAAAAACCCGCACATGGATGTTTATAGCAGCTTTATTCATAATTGACAAAAATTGGAAGCAACTAAGATGTCCTTCAGTGTGTGAAAAGAAGCCAGTCTGAAAAGGCTATATACTGTATGATTCCAACCATATGACATTCTGGAAAAGACAAAACTGTGGAGAAAGTTAAAAATAAATCAGTGTTATACAGAAGTTAGGAGAGAGGGAGAAATGAATAGGTGGAGCACAGAGGATTCTCAGGGCAGTTAAACTATTCTGTATGATACTGTAATGGCGGGTCTATGTAAATATGCATTTGTCCAAACCCATAGAATATACAAGAAGAGTGAACACTAATGTAAACTGTGGGCTTTGGATGATGATAATGTGTCAGTGTAGGTTTATCAGCTGTGACAAATGTACCACTCTGGTGTGGGATTTTGGTAGTGAGGGAGACTGTGCATATGTGGGGGCAGGGGGTATATGGGAAATTTCTGTATTTTCCACTCAATCTTGCTGTGAACCCAAATCTTCTCTAGAAAATAAAGTCTATTAAGAAAAAAAAGACAAACAGCGATTTCCATTATGTGGCTGCAGCCTACATTTTCAGCTTAACCTCTACATCCCTTACATCACATTCTGCACTTCCACTTGAAATTGCATGCTGTTCCCATCACCACCACATTGTTTC